AAATTCTTCTTGCCGCACTCGCTGTTTCTCCTTTGCCTGACTCCCAGCGCTCAGTTTCTGTTTCTCACCATGATTCTTCTGACGTGGGAAAGGTGAGGGGGCTGAGAATTACTGGGAAGAAGACAGCTGGGGGAGCCTGAGTTGGGAAGCTCATCCCACCAGCCTCATGCAGCCCCCTTTTCCTGACTTTTCACCACTCGGCGCTCCATCCTGTCCTCCCCCTAGTGCCTCCTGTGCCCCCTTCCCCACTCGCAGGATGGTTGGGTTCCTGCCTGGAGCCCCTTCCCTGGCCATGCATCCTTTTGTCGCTGTGGCCTTATGATAAGGGCGGGGCTGATGGAAGCAGTGCTTCCTTGCACTGGGTCTGTGAGCCCATGTCTGGGAACTCTGTGTGCAGTGAGATGCTGCCAGGCCAGTACTTCTGTGTGGCCAGCAGCAGCCTCTGGCCCTGAGGTCTCCTGAAACAGGAGGCCAAGAAAGGGTTGCCATGTCGGCTCCGGAGACTAAATATTTCCTCCTACTTCTCCACTTCTGATCTCTGGTGATTAAAGCTGTGTGTGTGTGTGTGTGTGTGTGTGTGTGTGTGTGTGTGTGTGTGTGTGTGTGTGTGTGTGTTGGGGGGAGGGTGGCGTCCTTAAGAATACAGTGGGAGAGGTGGGGTCAGAGGCAGGATGACTTGACCATCTTCAGGGAAAAATGAGCTTTGGTGTGCGCTTATCGGGAAGGGGCTCAGCCAGCCTTGTTGTACACGCTTCTTGGGGTCAAACTTCAGACTCTTAGGGGTGGCATTCAATTTAAGTTTCCTTGGGCAGCAAGGAGGCCTTGACCTGTCAGAAATCATAAACTGTGGAACTAGGTTTCCCTTTCTTTCTCCTACCCTATCCTTCCCTCTCTCTCTTCTTTCTGTCTCTATCAAACGTTGTTAACTACTACCAGATATTCATTGCTACTTAGCAGAAATCACATCTCTTGTTCAAAGGAAGAACATATAGCTTGCTTGGTGGTACATATGGATCAGGGACTTATGACCAAAGGAAGTGGGTAGGTGGGATAGGATTAGATATTCAACTGTTTCTCAGGGACAATTATATACTTTCTATCACTGCTTGCCTCTGGTCCTTTTGTCCCCGCTCCAGCTTCCATCCCCAGAGCCAGTGGTCTAAGGCTGTGACAGTTTTACTTCCATACTTGATATGAGCTGAAGTTTGGTGAGGAACTGTCACCGCTTGGAAGGCCAACAGTGCCCACAGCATGGGAAACATATAGGGCCAAGTCAGAACTTTGAGTGTGTTCTCTTACAATCACTGTTAGGTCTGCTGGTTGGGTTACGCCCACCATCCTAAAGCATAGCATATCATTCATTGTGTCATTATTATATGAGTAAATTATGATCAGAGTATAAAGGGATATAATCTATGTTATAGCCTATGTTGTCTTAGTTTTCACAGATGTGCCCCCTCCACTAGTTTTTACAGATGTGACACACACACACACACAATTACAAATTAATGGATTTCCTTTGACAAAATCAGGAAACCCTTAGTAAGGACACTGAGGTTACTTGATATTTGAAGCAGTAAGCCTAACTGGCCTTTAAATTCATTGATGAGAGTGAATTATTAAACTTTTATAATGTTAATTTTTAAGCATGTTTGGGTCCCAGGCCATGTTTATTTTTAAAATTGTATCTTTGTGCTAGGTTCCATAACAGCTATGTCCCGATATGAAGAATAACAACTAGCCTGCTGACTTAATTTTAATGACTTTTCTTGCTTTGTCATTTTTCATAGTGAAGGAAGTATTGACTTAAGAGTTTTTAAAGAAAAAGTGAGTCGTTACAATATTGAGAATGTCTAGATTCCTGTGTTTTGTCTTTATATTTAGTTTAAATCTTGCAAATAAAAATTGGAACATAACCAAGCATTAATTGAGCAGTTTCTGCCCAGAAGCTTATTATCCAGCTACTTCAAATAACTTTAACTAATTAAAGCACAGTCATAAACCAAGAAGTCAGCAGTTGAGACTTCGGATTCATTGGAGCAGTTTTCATCAGTTGAGAAACTAAAATCCATGTATTTTTCTACTATGGAAAAAGACCTGAGGCCTTCATTCAGAATTTATTCACTTAATTTTGCATGTGATTATAGACCTTAATTATCTGATTTATCAGATTAGAAGCTGTTTAGAAGCTGTCATTTTAGAAATTGAGGGCAACTGAAGTCAGGCCCAATAACATTGAAAGACTATCTAGCCTGATAGAAAGACAGGAAGCAGAAAAACGACTGTTCTTTGTAGTAAAATACGTCATGTTGTAGTGATTATAAAGAAAAATTCAGATTATGGTTTTATATATTCTGCCTCAGAAGGCATAGAAGCATGCCTTATGAGGGCCTTTTAAAATTTAACGTTGTTTAAATAAAATTAGTTTTATAACAGAAAGCACTTTTCTTCCTGTATTATCATCTGTAGAACACTGTGCTTGAATTGTTACACATGAATGACATCGGTGTAGAGACATCTCACCCTAGGAAGCTGAGAGAGGACAGTCTTATGCCACAGGCTCTCAGACTTTTCCAGGCAAGATCCCTATTCACAGGAGATTCCGACTTGGAATCCAGATGGAGAACAAGGCAAGGAAGGGGTATTCTGGCTTCGGCGAGTGCACTTTTGTCCCTTCCCACCATCCCCAGTGACTCCCTAGGAGCCTCAAGGAGCCCTTGGAGCTCTGCAGGCCCCAGTGCAGAGCACACGTCAGGCTACACCAGGGCAGGAGTTACTGGTAAGGAAGGAGGTTTTTCAGGCGGCCTTAAATAAGCCCGTCAGTGGTTGCTACCATGAGAGTGTTGCTTTGCTTGCGTGCAGTGAAATCTGCTAGGGGTTTAGTGGATAATGGGTAGAATGAAATCAACTTCTGAGCGTCACTATAACTCTTGAGCGACAGGACTCACTCAGGAACCCCGTGCATTTGCTGCGGGTGGTGCTAAAGCAGTGATCCCCACCAGGAGATCCGGAACAAACAGGAGAGCAACGATAGATTGCTCCTTATGGGCACTTAGCTCACGAAAATATTTGCAAACCTAGAATTTTATTATTGTTGCCTTGAGCGATGCTGCCATTGCTGGTGCTGCTACTAGCACTTGTCACTCTTCTTTTTGCGGTGCACGGGCCTCTCACTGTTGTGGCCTCTCCCGCTGCGGAGCACAGGCTCCGGACGCGCAGGCTCAGTGGCCATGGCTCACGGGCCCAGCCGCTCCGCGGCACGTGGGATCCTCCCGGACCGGGGCACGAACCCGTGTCCCCTGCATCGGCAGGCGGACTCTTAACCACTGCGCCACCAGGGAAGCCCTTGTCACTCTTCTTGTTCTCCCTCCCCATCTCCCATCCCTTCCCCTTCCTCCCCACCTCCCGCCGCTTTCTTTTTAGTAGTAGAGCCAGGACACTTTTCAATAGTGTAGCTAGGTGCTTGGGTTTCCCTTATCCTCCTTTTTGGCAAAATCAATCGATTGCCAAGCTTACGTAAGGTTACCGACCATGTTCTTTCCTCAGGCAGAGGAACGCCACGAGTGACGAAAGCGTTTGCAAGCAGGGTACCTAAACCTTAGTCACTGGGTATCAAGACGACGCGTGTCGTTGCTGCGGTACTGACTGCAGCGTTCTGGATGCTTGGCTGGTGGCTGGTGGCACTGTGGAGACTCCGTGTTGAATGGGTAGAAGCACCGAGGAGGCGGGAGGCTACAGTTTCTTTCCTGATTCTGCGCCTTCCAAGGTCTGGTTTGCAGTCCTTCCAGGCTCCTTGGTAGCAGCCACACCTCCCTTTTTGGCTTAAAAATCCTATCTCAGTAGGGGAAGCTGAGTCTTGTGTCTTTCTTAAGGACAGGGACTTCGGGCCTTTCACACTCGGATGCTTTGATGGGCTGGGTCACAGACTGGCTTTGTTATAATAAGTTTCTTTCAGTGCTCAACCCCCCAAATTATTCCTGCAGATCTGCCTTTTAGCCTGTTCTCCATAGAGAGACCTGAGCATTTGTGAGTCAGACGTTACATGGCTCCGTCAGTATTGAATGGAGATTTCCACCCCTTTCTCTCTCTCCCTGCTGCTTGTTTTTTATTGTTAGAAAAAAGATAAACCTCAGAGAATATTTTTATTGTGAATTTTAACTGGTACTGACAGGGAGGCCAAACTGTGCATGCTTTTAAGCACGAGCCTGCTATCAGACTAATTGACCCTGCTGTGCTCTAATTATATGACCTCGGGCACATCCCTTGCTGGGCCTGTTTTCTCATCTGTAAAATGGTAGTAAGAATAGTATCTATTTCTTAGGGTGGTGAGGATGAAATGAGGTACTCTCTGTGAGGTGCTTACAAGAATACCTGGCACATAGAAAGTGCTAAATTCATCTTAGCTGCTTTTGCTGTTACTGGGCTGCTGCTGCTCTGATGATGATGATGGTGGTGGTGATAAGGATGGTGACTCGTAAAAGTTAAATTCGTCTTCTTACTTTCCAGAAGATTTGGGCAGAAACCAAGTAGCCTTGTATAGATTTGTGCTGGGAATAAAAGTCCAAGGGGATGGCCCCTTGAAATGTAAACTGTTTGGCTGTAGGGAAACCATGCTTGTTTTGAACCTAGACCCTACCCCTTAGCTATTAGAGTAAACGTGAAAAAAAAATAGGTTAATAATGCCTACAATGTTAGGTTATGGAACTAAGAAAATAACAGAATAAAGAGCTTGGTTCATAGTATATACTCAGCATACAGCAGCTAGTATAATTCTGTTTTAAAGAGAAAATCTTAGGCCACCCTCAGTCATGGATATGAAGTTACTTGGTAGGTCAGAGTACTGTTGCGGAAGTTTGTCCGATTATTGAATGTTTATGACGAAGTTTTAAATTGGTTTACGTTTGCCTCATTTATGTATACTCTCTTTACTACCAGGGAGCTCTTCAGAACAGACCGTTAACATTTCTTCTTGTCTTTTGAATTGTCTGTTGTAGAAATCAGCTCTCAGGAGGAAGTGTGCGGTCTGTAAGATCGTCGTCCACACCGCCTGCATCGAACAGCTAGAAAAGGTGAGACAGCGCCACCTGCTGCAATTTTTGCTACCCTGCCAGTGTTTGGACTTCAAAGACCAGGTGTCAGTTTCCATTTTCAACTTTTTGAAAACAATGCTCTTTTAAAAACCTGGAAGTCCAACATTACCAGATTAATAATGAAAGGATGGAAGGACAATGCTTAAGTTTCATTCACTGTATTGTTTGCTGAGGTATTATTTGATATCATTTTATGTTGATTCTCAGGAAAAGGAATAATAAGGTTAGAGAGAAAAGCCTCACGTGTACTCATTTTCTTCAACAATAACAAACGTTGTTATTCACCCATGGGATTTTCCACAAGATGTTTCGTATTAAAGAAAGAAAATTCCATAGCTCTTTAAAATCATTGTTTAGACATGTCTGACCTTTGTAAGTTTACGTCTTTCTAAATTGGCTGCCATGGAGAGAGCCCGGCCAGAAGCTGAGTTCCTTGCTTTGAGCAGCGTTCCCGCTTACACAGCATTAATACGTGGGAGGGGCTGGAAGTGACATTCCGGTGGTGTCTTTCCTCCAGAGGAGGTGGATTCTGCAGAGTCCATTTATCTGTCATCGGGGCAAGGGAAAGGCTCCAGTAGTGAGCTCTCTGCTGTCCTCTTCCTTCCATGCCTCCTGCCCCTTTTCCACGTGGGATTCTCTGTGCATCATCTATCTTGAGCTGCCATGTGTACATGTATTGAAATATTTTAGTCCCCGGGGATATTCATTTAGTTTTACGGACACATTATCAACTGTTGCCAAGTGATATTTTGTGGGAATGGCTAGTAATATTTTACAATAATTTTTTTTTTTGCTGTCCCAACTCCATGTACTCATTTCCTACTTCATTTCTACGCTCCTTTCACCTTATCAAGTAGCTAAAGAAGATGTAAATGTATAGGGAGACCTCTGCATCTAAAAGTAAGGGAGTGCTGAATGCTTGAAGAATAATTTTGTGTATTTTTGTGACTCATCTTCATCATATTAAAAATGTCTCAAGTTTATATTTTCCTACTTTTAAAATCTAAAACACAGCTGGATGATTTCAGCTGCCATATATTTTTCTTCTGCCTCTTTATTATCTCAGTTTCTCAAATTTATGGCGTAAGAGCATTACTGTCTAAAGATAACTTTGATTTCATCAGTGAGACTGAAGAGTCATGGACTGGAGATAACAGGATCGCTTGGGATTATCTAAGGTGATGATTTCAAAAGACTAAGAATAGTGTAAGACTATGTTCCTTATTCTTTGAGGTTTTTTTTTTTCTGTAGTCTCAATATCTGTCACTGTTGGTTTTTTCAGGTAACTCATTCTAGTCAGGTGCTTATCTCTAATATAATACACTTTTCTTTTTAAATGACAGATTAATTTCCGATGTAAACCAACATTTCGAGAAGGGGGCTCAAGATCACCGAGAGAAGTAAGTATATCAGAGCTCTAGTTCAAATACCGCCTTTTATTTCCCATTGATTCATTGGATTCATAGATATTCAGTAGGGATTTAAAAAAATGAAGTCCATCTCCCTCTATTCCACATCAGTTTCTTTTCGATACATCAACACATACAATCAATAAAATCCCCAAGTCTCTTCAGTGTGTGTCTACGGCCCTTTCTTCTTCTCACAGAATGTATTGGGGAGCTAAGGTCTTATTGAATGGAACTAGAAAGTAGCGGGAGGAGGAGGTGGTGGAATTGAAAAGATAAGAAATAGCATTTTATTGACTTTTGGTCCATTTTAATTCCTGGAAGAGGTGGCAACTAAACTGAGACCCAAAGGGATGATCTAAGTGAAGGGCGGGGGGTTAGCTAGGAAGTGAGTGGCAGCCTTTGAGACAGAACACAGGCACACAGGCACAAAGGTGAGAGGATGTATGAGGAAGGCGTGAGACCTGAGAGACAAGCAGAGCTAGACCAGGAAGGCCCTTGTTAGCAAGGCTGCAAGTGGAATGTCTCATCATCATAGTAATTAGAGGGGACATGAAACTGTTATAAGCAGAATATATTATTCTGGCTACAGTGTGGAGGGAATGCCATATAATTCAAGCAATATTGGAAGCATGGAGAAAAAAATTGAAGAGCTGTTCTCCTAATCTGGGCAAGAGATAACGGTGATCTGAACTAAGAGTAATACTGAGATGGAGAAAATTGGAGAATATGAATTTGAAGGAAACAGAATTGACAGGAGATAGTAATTGATTGGATTTTGGACACAAAGGCAGGGGAGCTCGGAATAAACAAGGGTTCTTCTCTGAGAAAGCAATTAGATGTTGGCAAATGAGTTGCTCTGAGGATGGGGTAGGGAAGTAATGAGTTCAGTTGTAGAACTCTCAAGTTTGAGGTGTCCTGAGGCCCCAGCTGGGGATGCCCAACAGAAAGCTGAGTGGGTAGATGAGCTTGGAGCTTATGAGGAAGATTGGGCGCTAGAGGTTAGACATTGGGGAATTGTCAGCATATTGAGATAGTAATTAAAGCTACGAGAATAGATGAATGAGTGGAATAGGAATAGAAGACGTCTGAGTACAGAGGTGTTAATGACAGTTAATGAAAAAAGACACTGTGAAGAAGAATGATCTCGTTGTTACTGACTAATACAAGGAGATTGGGAGAAAACATGGAGAGAGGATAGGCTGGCGGTGGAGGTTTGGAGAGAGATGAAAATATCAAGAGTTGTCCCTGTCCACTGTCCTCTCCCACTGTGCTTGTCTATTATGTCAGCAAGAGGAAAGTTATGGGTCATATGTAGGGTGAGGAAATCTAAGAAAAATGATAGGGTTGTTTTACCCTCCATGTCACCCAAGTGCACTGTAGCAATGGTCAGGAGATAACTCAGTGACAGCTCAGATGAAGGAGAAATTTTATTTAGGACCGTAGAAGCAACCACTTTGAGGTTTTGAGATGGACTGTATGAATTTCTAACCAGGGAATCCTTATGTCTACCTTTGGTTCCCTGTCCTTTAATCTCCCTTTTTCTCTCTGGATAGATAATTGTAATTGTATGTGCAATTTTCTAATGCAAGGATTTTTTTGGGTGTGTTTTCAGCAGCTGTTATTATTTCTCTTCCATGAAGCCAGACCCTTTATAAGTGTTTTCAGCACCTTCCCTTGCCTTCGTATCAAGGACTTGCTATTTCTTCCATTCCTACATTTTCACCTCCCCACCTTCCTTCTAGATTATCTCCATCATCATAAACATGCTCTGACAGCTCCCATCTTAAAAACCAAACAAACAAAAATAGTCCTTCACCACCAGCTGTGTCTTAACTGCGGCTCTGATTCTCAGCGCTGTGTTCAGTGCTAACTTCCAGAAAGTGTTAACTACGTTAATTGTTTTCAGCGTGTCCCCTCCTAGGCATTTTAACCTGTTCCGATCTGGTTTTTACTCTACCTGTTCACTGAAATTGCTTTTTTAATGTTGCCAGTATCGCCTGAATGCCAAATCCATTAGATTTTTCTGTTCTTATTCGGTCTTGCAGATGTGTTCAAACTACTCAGTATTTCATCCTCCTTGAAATGCTCTCCTGTCATGACATCTTTCCTAATGTTCCTCTTATTTCACTGGGTAGTCCTTTCATTGCTCACTCCCTGGTATTCGTTGGGCTTAGTACTGGACCATGTTCTGCCTACTGTTGTTGGGAGAGCTCATCCAATCCCTTGGCTTTACATATCATGTCTGGGCTGACAACAGCTAGCTTTCCATTTCCAGCCCACACTTGGAGTTCCATTTGATATGCCCGCTGAATGTATCACAGTCATCTCAAATATAATACATTACAAACTAAACTCTTTATTTCCATCACCATAAAAACAAGTTTTTTCAATTCTTTTGTACCTCAGAAAATAAGATGACTATTGGCCCAGCTCCTTGATCGAGAAAATGGGTGAGGAAGGGGGGTCATAATGATTACTTTTCTCAGGTACTCCCCACAGCTAGTTCATTTGCCAACCCTATCAATTTTATTCATAAACTATATTTCAAATGATCCATTTATCTCCATTTCTGTTGTCAGCACCTTAGACTAAGACACCAGGATCTCTCACTTTTTTTTTTTTTTTTTGCGGTACGCGGGCCTCTCACTGTTGTGGCCTCTCCCATTGCGGAGCACAGGCTCCGGACGCGCAGGCTCAGTGGCCATGGCTCACAGGCCCAGCCGCTCTGCGGCATGTGGGATCTTCCCAGACCAGGGCATGAACCTGTGTCCCCCGTATCGGCAGGCGGACTCTCAACCACTGCGCCACCAGGGAAGTCCTAGGATCTCTCACTTTTGACCACTACAATAGGTTCTCCAGGATTCTTTAGTTTCCCCCTTCAATCCACCATGATTTAAGAGACTCATCTTTAAAAATGAATGTTGGATTATATCATTTTCCAACTTAAAACTCTTCAGTGGTTTCCATATCGTTTAGAGGAAAACCATACCCTTGGCTTTGCATGAAAAGTCAAAAGTCCTGCAAAGGCTGGACCCAGCCTACCTCTTCCAACCCATCCAGCTACCACATGGATTTTCTTTCAGTTCTTGAGTCATGCATCCAGATATTCCTCACCTTCTGATATTTGTGTGTTTCATTGCTGTACTGGAAATCTCTTTGCATGGCTAGCTCTTTCTTATAGTTAGACCTCAGTTCAAATATCAGCCCCTCAGAGGTCTTCCTTGATGACCACCTCTAAGTAGGTTAGTAGGTTGCACATTGTTCTTTATCAAAGCACCTTGTTCTGCCCTTCAGAGCACTTTGTATGTCATAATTATTTATTACTCATTTGCTTGTTTGTTGCCATCCTCCTATAGCGTAAGCTTTGGGGGATCACTCGTGAAATTTGTCCCAACCTCATTGTACCAGGCAGGATGCAGAGGATGTGATCAATGAATATCTTTTGACTGATTGAATTTATAAAGGGGCTAATTTTTCCCCAAGTGTCTAAGAACTCTTGGTCTAAGAGGACAGTTTGGAGATGATACTTATGACAGATTATGACCCATGGAGATTCTTAATTAAGAGTCCTTAGGTAGTTTACTTAATGGAAATGAAAGAAGCAATCACTTTAGAATTAGTTTGACCTGGGTTCAAAGGACACCTCTGCTTCTTTTCCCCTAGATGGTGTCTCTAGGGCTGGGCTCTGGAACAGGGCTATTAATCACTGTCCCCTAGGCTTTGTGGGGTGCCTGATACATGGAAATGTTTTAATGAATATTGTTTGGACTCCTCTAAATTGAACCTTTCTGGCTGGACCTCAGTTTTCTTAGAGATAAGCTGCATGGATTGGGCTGTAATTGCTAAGATCCTTTCAAAAGCTCTGTGAATAATACTATGAATTAAACTGGCTGTTTCTGAAAATAATTGAACAATTGTGTTATGCATTTCTGCTAACAATACTGACCATAAACCCTGAAATAATGGATCACCGAGATTTTAACACCCATAAGTAATAGCCCTTTCCTTACCCAGTATTTGAAGATGCTATATGAATAATTCAGATTATTGATGAACAATAAAAAGATGTTATGGTGTCAGCAGCCTTGCTTTGCTACCTTAACAGCAGTGAATCAACACTCATATTTGCAATGTGAAGATCCCGAGTCTAATTTCATTTCAATAATTTAGGAGATATAAATAATAGTCAAAGGAAATAGTGTGAAAAATTTAAGTGCTTGGGAAAGAAGGATGATTCTACAGAAATGGTTTTTTTTTCCCCTAATTGATAAAGACAATGGATGATCCTTCAAAATGGTAACTACACAATTTAATTGTCAAAGAAATTCAGTTGAGAATTTCATTCAATTCAGCACACATTTTTTGGCTTTTACTTTGTTCCAGCTATGTTTAAGCAGCAATAGAAGAAATTTATATCAGGCCTAAGAAGACCTCTGAATAGATGGATACTTGACATCTCAAATCAGGGCCATAGGTTAGAGACAATTACTCAGTTTCTATAGTAGTGCTTTTGTTTGAGTTATTTTATTTGGGCCTTAATTTCCTACCTATTTCCTAGGAAGGATGGTATTAAAAATAGTTAACAACTTGCAGAGTCAAATATTTAAATAAAAATTTTAAAATGTTCTCTTTTATTCCTTAAACAAACTAAACTACATGGTATTATAAACCTGCTTACCAAACGATGTATGTTGCAGCAGAAATGATTCATTGTCAGTCGTATAATTTCTAAATAATTGTTGATTGTGGAAACTGCTGGTTTAGTCTTTTGATTAGAGCTGTCACTAGCTAAATAATTCCATGAGTCAGCCGTGATTTCTCATAGGTAATTGATCAAATTCTTCCAATGTTTCCCTCCGTAAATTCTTAAATTGAGAGTCATTAGGTGATTTATAATCTCAGTAAGCAGAGAATTTCTCTTAACATCAATGATACTGTTCATTCTCCCTCAGCTTCTGCTAAACTAACAGCAATTATAGTAAATTTTTCTATCTCTCATAATCCTGCCTGACATTTTTATGTATTCAATATTTCCACTACTGACTGTCATTGAAATCATTTATTGAAGGAGCTTGAACCTGATCTTAGAGCAGAGGAGAGGCGCTGCAACACAGTGCTGCCAGCCTGCCTGGGTCTGAATCCTTGCTCTGTCCCTGACATTTGAAGTCGCCACTCTATAACTTAGTTTTGTCATCTGTAAAATGAGGACGATAATGATAATTCAAGTCAAGCCCTCTGATAATATGCCCTACAATGATGTTAACTGTGATAGAGTACAACTAGCAGTTGACCCCAGGCCTCCCCAGCCCTTATTCTTAAACAGGCAGTGGGCTAAAAGTGCTTCTCACTTGAGTGGGTGGAAAGCTGGAGTGGTCCACTTCATCTGTGAACTAGAGAGATGGAGGGTCCAATATCATCATCCCCAGTAGAGTTTTTTCACTGACCTGAAGGTATGGATGCTGATAACTGAGCAGGTTTCTGGACTTGCAGCCATAGGCCCCCAAAATTGTTAATATTGATATTTAAGCTTGGACAAACAACTACCATCAGTGGGGCACAGCCCAGTCTTCTGAGTTTGTGGGAGAACCCCATGGCATCGCCCCAGTAACATGATTCATTTTCAGAAGAGAGCTCCAGAATCTTGGAGACCTGTTATGCCCGAAATTCACACTCTAGTTGCTTAATAATGAGGAGGTAGGAGTGGGCTCCAGTGTTGGGGGGCGGGGGGGCGGTGCATGGCATCCAGGGAGGAGCCAGGGGGATGGTAGGGGCACTAAACTGCAATTTATCAACCAATATAGAAATACTTCAACATTTTACCAACTTGGGGTTTTACTAGTTCTTATCAACTAAACAGCACCTATACTCATGAAAATTCTCATGAAAATTAAATTATTATTACATGTAAGGCATTTTAAAAAGTGCCTGACAGTGTTAGTAGTCAAGAAATGTTAACTATTATTATTAGCTTCTTTCTGAGAACAATGTAAGAATTGTGTCCTTGTTTCATTAAACTGCCACAGTGCGAAAAGCAAGATAAAAACTAGACTAATTAGCGGGACCGCTATGCTTTTTTATATCTTATTATAGTTAAAAGACCATTATTCCTCCAGGATCTTTGTTTAGTTTTAATTTAAATTGGTTTGACGTTACGAAGAGAAATAGAGGTGGCACTTTGGAATTGATGATGCTAATGCTTGTTGGAGGTATCTTTGTCACTCTGAATTTCATGCCTTGATATAACATCTTTTTTTCTCGACACTGATCTGTTTCCTGTGTCCCTCTGTACTTAGAACAATGCCTGGGTAGTAGGCATTTGGTAAGTATTTGTTGAAAAACTGAATATATGGTAAAGGGCCCGTGAGCCATGGCCACTGAGCCTGCACGTCCGGAGCCTGTGCTCCGCAACGGGAGAGGCCACAACAGTGAGAGGCCCGCGTACCGCAAAAAAAATTTAAAAAAAATAAAGGGCCTATTTTAAAGGGAAAGTATGGATTGTGGCCTGACAATACGCATGTTAATTTCAGGTAAAGTATGTTTTCTCAGAAAAGGGCAGGAGAAAAACATTAGCAAATATTTCAGGTGTATTGGCCTAAGAGAGATGAGTTGTATGGAAGTTATTAGAGTTTACCTGTACCGTTAGGCCTGAAGACCACCTTCTCTCTTGTAAAGTATCCCAACAGCTGGGGTGACGGGTGCTTCTACTTGGGAGGAAAAGGACCTTCCATGTTTCCTACAGCTCAAGCCAAGAATAGACCTTGGAAGCTGATCTCATTCAGGTTATCCAAGGACAGTTTAAATACAACCTCATTGCAGAATTTCGCGATATGCCCACATCTCTTGTCTCTGTCATCAGTTTCCTTCAGCTTTTCTCTTCCTTCACTTTCGCTAGTGAAAAACTGTCACCATGTAAGTCCCGAATCAGGAGATCTGTTTCTTTCTGAGAATTTAATTTCTTTAAGTTCTCTGACTCAAATGTTTAGTACAGTGCCTGCCTGGCATTTATAAAGCATTAAATACATATTGGTTTAAAAAATTGGAGGTCTTTGTCCTTCTCTCCTTCACCTTCTCATTTCTTTAAGGATATTTCTTTTACCTGCCTCAGTTACCCACCCTCCACCGCCCCCCCGCCCCAGCTCAAGGTCACAAATCTGCACAATGTTTTACTAGACGGAAAACAGAGTAACGGGAATTCATTATGGCCATTCGTTACCAGGAAGCCGCAGAGGGAGGGCATGATTAATGGTTTCTACAGATACGAAAGGTCACTGAGGATGGAGACTTGCCTTCATTTTCCCAAGTGGGTTCATGTTTATTGTTAAACAAATCACACATACACATATTTGTTTTTGTGCTTAGATGGGCTTAGATGGTTGTTCGCGGAAATCTTTATTCTTAAAACATTAAAAAAAAAACCTAACCTTGGAGTTTGGGAATTGAAACATGTTTATTTACTTTTGTTTTCCCACAGAATTTTGTGCGTCATCACTGGGTACACAGGCGTCGGCAGGAGGGAAAATGTAAGCAGTGTGGTAAGGTAAGGGGCCCGCACCCCACAGTCATCGCAGGAGTCTCCTCAGGCCTTGGCAAGCACCCAAGGTAGATGAGTCCAGTCACCCAGACCCAGGGCTCAGGACGTCCCTTCCTTTCCCAAAGGCCTCCGTTCTCTAGGTCCCCTTCCCTTAAGAGGTGTTTTATTTGTTCTAGAACTCACTCAAGAAGCAGTGGTCTCCATACAAGGAATTAGCACGTTTTAAGAGAGATGGATGGACTTTTACAGTGAATTTCATTGTGGATAGTTTAAAAAAAGGATACTTCCTATTTTGTTAAAACTCCCTCCTGAGGACTGCTGGCCCATCATACTTCTTTGAACACCAGCAGAAAACCAGTAGGTTGATGAGCGATACTACTCGTGTTGATATGTTATGGTTGAGCAGAACTGGGTAGAAGGACAACATGGAAGCAAGAAATGTGTTGCTCTCTTGGGATATTATCCAATTCCTGGAAAGAGATGCCCTTCTCATATGTGGTGACTTATGTCTACTCTCTAAGTATGACTGGCTACAGGCCCCTCAGGGTGCAGGGCCACTTGGAAGAGTGAGGTGGGGATCTGACAGCTTCATGCTCTGTAGATTCCATGTTATTGACCCTAACAGAGTTGGATTATGGCTTTTTCAATGTACAAAGATCTACTTTAGGAATGAAAGGATCCTCAGAGAAAGTTAAACTGGTGGTGAATCCTACTACAAAGATTTTTTTTAAAAAATTTACATAGACGTAAGCTGGTCTCAATAAAGCAAAGTTTTGATTTGGTAGAGAGCAAGATAATTTGGGAGAGTATATTCCTCATCAATTCATTTCTAATTTGTTTATTTATTCATATGACTCTTTGGGGTCAAGCACTGGGGTGAGCTGACCAGTATGGCATTTTTTGACAATAGAGGAAGGCAAGGAAGTTTTGGCTGCCTGAGTAGCGTTGAGGGCGAGCGAGACATGGAAAAAGTTTGATTAATGTTGCTGTTTTCCCAGTGCCTGAAAGGGAAATATGCTGTAGCCATTGGTTACCAAGCTCTTCTTTGGAAGGTGGCACACTTTAGTCTCAAGGGTATGGGCCTCCATTATAACTGGTATTATCTCCTCCAGTTCAACACAGTGACCCTCAGCTGGTTCCTTTCTAGCCTGGAAAGAGGACAGGCAAAATAGGTTAAAAGGGGGAGGAGGTAAAAAGAAGAGGAGGAGGGAGGGAGAGAGGAGGAGTTGAAAGTTGCTTACCAGCCATTTTACACGGCTGGGAAAAAGGAGGTCAGCCCTCTACCCTCACATGACCTTCCTTCACTGGCTCCGTCTACTCTTTCCCTGTCTGCTGTTGCCCTAGGACTTACGGATTTTCTCTTACTTAGTGGATTGTAGACTGTCTGCAACTTTCCCATAAGAATGTGTGCATGTGTATGCGTAAGAGAGAAGAAACAGGTGGGCGTGGCCAATTTTGAGGTCAGAGATGTGGACAGTAGGAAGGATCTGGATGAACAGGTTCTTCACTTTGGAGAAAATATCTTCACTGGACAGCCTAGTAGCTGGCACCACCTCAGCAACTTTCAAGCCATAATAGATTTGGAGGAATTTTATTAAAAGAAAATCAATAAGCATTATATATCTTGTGACAAGTATTCCCCAGCGTCGTATTTCACTCCCTTTTCTGGCTTGTCTTCTGTTGGCGTGGTCAACCAAAGGGGAAAAACTGGACACCCTGCACTCTGAGTTGCTGTGACCATGTCTCTCTTCCTGCCCAGTGTCCCCAGGCAGGCATCTCAGAGCACTCACAGCTCGCTGCTCATCACGGCTCTCCGCAGGGAAATCTGTGAGCCCAGCTCTTCACGTAAAGTTCCCATAATGTTGAATTGTTATATTCATGTCCTGTGTTTGTAATCCAGCTGCTTACGGATTCTCAGAGACTCAAGCAATTGTGGCATATGAAGGTCTTAAACCTGTGTCTCCTTGCTGGATAATAAATAACCCTTCTTTGGAGCCTGGCTTCTCCCCTGGATTAGAGGAAGACTAGTGAGTGACTCTCTTTCCATTTGCAGATTAAGGGATTGAAGATTCATTTCAGACTTTGGTGCTATGCATAGTTTTCATCAGTACAGTTGGTTGTACATTCTTACATATCCAGAGATTTCTAAACCATTCCACACACACACACACACACACACACACACAGACTTCTATACACATTATTCCATAATTTATCCATTGGGATGGGGTAAAAAATACTTTACTTAGCAAAAAAAAATGTTTAAACCAGTGGTTTGAAAACTTTTGGGGTTATTAGTGAGTGTTTGTGGTTAAGAGTATTTGTGGTTTCATTTTCTACTTTTTAGAATCAACAGTAAATATTTGAGACTAATTAGAGACTGATTTTCTCTCAAGCCTTGAATATGCGTTTGGCTGAGTGTGTGTGTCATATAATGAATATCAGATGAGACGGCTCGTGATTCAATCGCTCAGTTGCTTTAACATTCACTGACTACCAGGCTGCCATGTTTATGACCATCATGTAGTTTTACATTGTTTTCGTTCATAGTCCTACATTATGAAAGAGTTAAGGTTCAGGCAGAAGAGAGCTGTCACACTCAAATTATGTAATTTGATAAGTGTTTAATAAAGAGAATATTTAAAATGTGTGAGCAGAAAAGAAACTACAAGGGATAGTGAAAAACTCGAGGCTAGTAACAGCAGGGATCTGTGGTCAAGCCAAGTCTAAAAGGGTCATGAGACTAAGTCATGAGACTTAGCCAGCCTGAGGTGATCTACCAGCTGGGGGAATAAATATCCCAACTTCACTCACCTTCAGTCTCCAGTGGCCAAACCCAATAGAAACCAGAGCACAAGGGACATTGTTGAGGCAATCCATAAAAGTTAACTTTTTACAACAGGACACAGGGTAGAGAAAGATGGAGAGTGGATCCAGAGGGACAATGGGATTGATCCAGCCCATATTTAGTGTAAATCTATACTTGGCCAATGGTTAAAAGCAAGCTACATGCTTATTCTGCAAACATACCTCTTTACTGATCTTCACCACATCTACACATTGCATTCATTCAATCAAGATTTATTCAACACTGAGTTATCCCTAGTAGTACTTAAAAAAAATCAATATGCAAAGAAAAAAGATAGTCATGATTATAGCTAATTTGACCTTTTATTTTTAAAGGAACCATCCAAACCCAGCAGTATGGCAGTTGTGGAAATACGCTTGTCAATTACAACTTGAAATTTTATCTTTCATTTCTTCATTTGGAAACATATGTAAAGTTATAAAATAAACGAGCTAATTTTTTAAAACTTAAAAATTTAAAATTTCAAACATCAAATCATGAAAGCAGTTTTTAACACAAGAATACATAGTTTAACTTTGGTCTACATTTCTGATGTCTTCCAGTTTCCTAACCAAACATGTCACATAATTATGAATTATTCATCTATAAATTATATGTACTTTCATATATAATTAAAGTAAATTAAATTTTAGGTAGCACTAATTAAAGGGAAAAATGTCAGAACTACTCTTTATTGTAATGAATATTGTTAAAAATGAATTTAAAATGAACTTGTGCAATAATTGAAATATACCCGTCTAAAGGAAGTATCCTTAATGGCATTTTTGTATTGCAAAAATGACACAAATGATTTAAGATATTCCATGGGGGTGTGGTTGAGATATGGATGAATAGTGAAAGGGATTAGAGAGTCTAAAAATAATGGAAAGTACTGACCTGGAGCTTTGGGGGATGTTCCCTTCAGTAAAGAAGCACCATTCTTTACTGGTTTAAAAATGTGTGAGCCCTGGAGGTCAGCTCTCAAGAGGCCCTGCAGAGTTAGGAACAAGGAAAGGAAGTCCAAGGGTGAGAATCCATTCACTAGTTAGGCAGGTTTGGTTATTTGCCTGTCTGTATGTTTGTCCAGATGCCATTAGCCTCAGGAGGATTGTTGAGAATGTAAAGTAAGTAATACAACAAGTCCAAAGAAATCTAGCCTCTCCATGGAGCCTGTGCCCACATAGCTGCTGGAAGCCTGGCTTTTCTTTCTGTCCTTGGCTGAGTATCAAGGAAGGAGATAAGTGCCACTACCATTCTATTCCCTGCTTCTATGCATTTGACTCTGTTAGATTCCTCATATAAGTGGTATCATACATGATGTAGTATTTGTCTTCCTGTGTCTGACTTATTTTACTGAGCATAATGTCTTCCCGATTCACCTGGGGAAGGGGAAATGGAGAGATACAAAGGGTACAAAGTTTCCATTATGCAAGATGGATGAGTCTTTGAGATCTACAGCATAGTGCTTGTAGTTAACAATACTATATTGAATACTTGAAATTTTTCTAAGAGGGTAGATATTATATTAAGTGTTCTTATCACAAAAGATAATAGTAACCAAGGAGGGCAGGAGGAAACTTTTGAAGGTGATGGATATGTTTACGGCATAGATTGTGATGATGGTTTCACAGGTGTATACTTGTTTCCAAACTCATCAAGTTGTACACATTAAATATGTACAGCTTTTTTGTATGTCATTCATACTTCAAAGTGGTTTGTAAAAAGGGCAGATAGAGGCTGAGGGCTCGGAAGCAGAGTGTTCCTTGCTGTGTTCTCCAGGTGGCTAAGTCACTCAGTTCTCACCTGTAGAGATGTTTTGCTACTGCCACTGCTTCCCTAGTCTTTGACATGGCCGGTGTCCTAGTAGTTACAGCTAATGTGATGCTCTAGTCACTCTGGTCCCTAATGCTCTTTCTTCAGAAAAGACTTCGCAAGAGAAGGCACGAGGATTGTGCAGAAGGAGTAGTTGAACAGCAGTGCAGCTCCAACAAAGGCCTCAGCCAATCCCATAAGGATCTGGAAAAGCCCCTCAGAGTTGCCCTGCCTTGACCAGTCATTGGATGTGGGCTGTCCTTGGCCAAGGTGACTCTTTTAGGCTTAGGGCAATGCTTAAGGATGGAAAGGTGACTCCCTGGAAAGCCATCAGCCTCCAGCACTC